ACTCTTGTCAGAGTGTAACTCTGTCCTGAGAGTTAAGCCAGGGCAAACTTCATTATTGGAGTATGATACGACATTGGTTCCTGTTGAGCCTTTCAGTCAATGCCCTGTGCAAGCTCCTCTTTTTAAAGAGGAATGGAGTAAACCTCCAGACCATCAGGAGGACCAGAAGGTGAAGAATTTTCATTCACACCAGGGTTCCTTCCTGTGTTTGTTGGAGCACATAGTGACGAGGGGAGGATTATCCTTCCGAACCTCGCGAAGGATCAGACGGGAGGGATTATATCCCACATGCCTCGACGACCTTCCTGTGTGACTACTGATGTAGGAGACACACCGGTATATTTCCTGAATATGACAGGAGTACCAGGATGGTGTGTGGGTTTATTCAGCCAACCCGATCGGGGGGTTCGGTCTGAACCTACATCTTTGCATGTACCTGGCAGGGATCAGTGATACATGGATGGAGTCATCAGTCTTAGGTCTTCAGGGCCATCGACTGATTCTATATAGATTCCTTGTTCAGTAGTATTGTATAGTGGTCATAGGTTTCTCTATTTTCACATGAATTGTCATTATTGTATATATTTCATCTGTCTCTGAGAGGTTGGTTTGGTCAACTCTTTGATTCAGAGCAGATTTCTTGAGCCGCCATCCCTTGTCTGATAATTCACAGACTGAAGGTGATGAGCAAGCTGAAAGTAGTGAGTCCATAGATGTGTAAATGGCTGATCATTTTTTCATTCGCGTAGTACGCTCTTCCCTTTGGGGGGGGGGGGGGGGTACTGTCGTGAAATGATAGCCATTACGCATCGGTCTGTAAGGCTGATAACCTGTCTTACCTGTAATCTGCACAAAATTCAAACTTGGACTCGCCCAGAAATATATAGTCCCTTATATCTATATATATAGGCCTGTATTGGACAACATTATTATGTCTGCCTTTTCTGGTTACTTTAACTAAACTCCACTTTTAAATGTATATCTCTTAGAGATATATTTAGGGAGTTATTTGAGGTTTCTTGGAAACCGATTTACTCCTTGCCCCAGTATACAGGGAACTTCTTTTGTACCAACGCCTGAAGTGTCTAAGCGACGCTATTCTCCTTGCCAGCTTCTCAAGCATCCAGATGTGTTAATCTGTGCCTGTATAACTTTCACTTTTCAAGGCAATCTGGAAATGTCTCAGTTTTTACATATGCTTGGGTAAGTTAATTATAGTTTACGAGTACCTAGAATGATGTCTGTAAAGTAGTCACTGCTGTAGAGAAATTAGTATCGGCTGTGTTATCTCACTTAGTTCGACCGTTCTTGATCGCTAGAGAAGCGGATTCGAACGTAGATCTTACACTGTACAGACTAAATAGCTTATGCCCTCAATAAACCACCCATATTGATAAACATTTAATGCCCTTACAATTGTGTACGTTTTAAACTACTTACAGGATCTGTACATACGAAATGGGGACAGAATTGGGTCAGGGCTTTGTTAATCAAAGTATGTGTGTGCTTGACCCAGATCAATGAGTGCTGGGGCGGTTGGGAAAGCTAGGGAATGCAGGTACTGACGGTAAATATTGGTGTTTGTGTGCAGAGTGAGGGGGATAGGGAGAGTGATATATGTGTTAGACCACTTTATCTATCTCCACTGTATATCTGACTTGCCTTCTCTTGCACTAAACAGACAGATAAATATAGGAGACTTATGTCTTTTGGTCTGGAGAGGCAATCTGAGGAATGAAACAGGAGAGCAGGGAGGAGTCAGCAGATGGGGGTTGATGACTGATGCTTGCTCTGTCTTTCCTGTCAAGATGTTACCCTCTTGATGATGACTAATGTTGAGTTATTTTCTTGACAGGATGTATATTTTCTGAAGAGCTGGCAGAAGATTCACAGTCTCACCAACATCCACCAACCATCCAACCACCAGAACCAACTTGTTGCCCACCAGATAACACCTGTGAAGGTTCCTGACATCTCCAAAATGTGGGAGATTGTGCCGCAAACAGCTACCAGTGCTAGAGCTTAATGTGGCTCAAAGACATTGTGTGTCCTTACTGGTGATAGAGACTTGCTAGATACCAGTACAGTTGCTGTACAGTGAAGTACTCTTACTACTTGATCCAGTGGAGCAGAATTCCCAGAGTCAAAGACAGTCGAATCATCCAGAGCTGAGGGAGGCATCATAGACAGAGAGGAGAGAAGATAAGTCTAATGCTTCGCATGATGTTGTGTTCCTCACAGCTCCTTGTGTCCAGTGATGAAAAGATGTCATCTCCAAGGCCTTCTGTCTGTGTAGATCTTAGTGATTTGGACATGATATCCTGAGATCTGGCATTTGTCTCACTTTTATATATCTAATTTATATTGATTACATACATTCATTTTCATGGCTGACTTAGGTGTCTCTATTTCACCTTTTTAAGTGTTTAGCAGTTGTGTATGTATGTGTATCTTCATTATATGTGTTAACATGGTTATGATAATGAACTATCATAACCTGGGGGCTTTCTTTAGTAAGTAGTGGGGGTGTCCAGCCAAGTGTGCCTAGAAATATTATATATATATATACTGACATATTTTGTAGTGCCAATACTTGAGTTGCCCTACTCCAGAGATAAGTTGATCGTATATTGGCCACGGGGAAACCCTTAGACCAATACGAGCCAAACGACTCAACATAATTATCTCTGAGTGCTGCTGGTTCTGAAGGAGAAATCCTTACATTAGGCACGCGACAGGAGTGATATGTGACAGCTGCTGAGACTCAACCCTTGACCAAGAGATTTACCCGCAGCTCAGATGAGTAACATCTCCTGTGGGTAGCCTCTCACAGCAAGATTCTACCCATGTACATCCTCTGTCAACCCTCAGTGTCGTCGTCACAGCGCTGAGGTACAACATGACAGCAATCGTTCATTTGCTGGCTAAACCAAAATGTCAGAGAGAAAAATAAATACATCCTGCGGCACAGGAGCAGGCTAAAAATCTGACTATTATAAATCGTATTGTTTGGGAAAAAGTCTAAATGTCCACTCCAGAGACCCCACTCACCCGAGTGTTGGGACCAAACAGATAAAGACATGCCTGATGCAGGATTCTCCCTTCTGTTGTGCTAACAGCACGCTGAAGATGTCAAACGTGCGACGAATAAAATGTACCTATTCGTGTGGTCACAAAAGTCCAGAACCCGCAGGCTGCTCCCCACTGATCTCTGGAGGGCGCAGCCCGTGTCGAGCAGGAGGCCTAATATGTTGTGAGGTTAAGCAGTCACGTGCAGGATGTGATGATTCCTTGGGTGAGCCCAGAACCAGAGCGTCATGTGTCGCCTCTGCATTTATGGAAGCCTCCTTGGATGGTGGGGAATGCCCATGATCTGCCCCTGCCTCCCTTGAGGGCTAACCGTTCCACATAGGGCTGCCCCAAAGGGGGTACTCCGTTGCAATATCTGTAGAGAAAGGGACAAAGAGGACACCACACAAATCAGGCAACATCTCGACCCACACAAAACAATTGCCACAGTCATCCTAGAAATAGGCCTGACAGCTTCCCTCAACGACAGGGAACGGCAAAAGCAAGCAAAATGGTTGTATACACATAACTCAGGTCCAGGAAAAAGCCAAAAGTCCTAGCGGACGATTAACTGGGACCTTCCACTGGAATCCACAGCCGGTGAACGAAGAAGAAGAAGAGAAGCAGTGGGTCTATTCTTTTTTTACCTTCCAAAATGGGGCCCCAGACATGCACTGGGACAAAAAACATCATTAACAGAGCAGAGAGCATAAACATATAAGAAATAACCAAAGGATATATAATGACTTTATATCAGTTCTACCTTTAACCTTTATCAAGATATCAGTTCTACCTTTAACCTTTATCGAGACATCAGTTCTTTCTTTACTCTTTATCGAGACAGGTTCTATCTTTAACCTTTATTGAGACATCAGTTCCATCTTTAACCTTTATTGAGACAACAGTTCTTTAACCTTTATCAAGACATTAGTTCTATCTTTACTCTTTATTGAGACATCGGTTCTTTCTTTAACCTTTATTGAGACACATCAATCAGTTCTATCTTTAACCTTTTTTGAGACTTCAGTTCTATCTTTAATCTTTATTGAGATATCAATCAGTTCTATCTTTAACTTTCATCAACACATTAGTTCTATCTTTAACTTTTATCAACACATTAGTTTTATCTTTAACTTTCATCAACACATCAGTTATATCTTTACTCTTTATCAAGATATTGGTTCTATCTTTAAACTTTATTGAGACATCAGTTCTATCTTGAACCTTTATCGAGACATTAGTTTTATCTGTAGTCTTTATCAAGACATCGATTCCATCTTTAACCTTTACTGAGACATCGGTTCCTTAACCTTTATCAAAACATCAGTTCTATTTTTAGCATCATCTGCCTCGGAAGGGACACAAATAACATCATAATTCTAGCAGAAGTAGCAGTCAAGGTTTTGATTTCTCTGCAAACAGTTCACCCCCTAAATGATCAATTTCTGTGCCAGTGCAAATCCCATAAAATATACCTCAATGTTCTATGTGAAAACTAGTGAGCAAACAATTTGTCCTGGCAAAATTCAGACATATGCACACACATGTAAAAGCATAAGGCAGTCACCAGAGGTGACAACATCAAACACTCGCTACCAGAATTGCTATTTATCATTGAAGGAAGTAGTAAGGATAAGCTGACTAAATGCACACATAATATTTATGCATAAGCCTCTTGATCAGACTGACTGCAAACCAGCCACCAGCTATTTACATTCATAGCAGCCAAATATTTATATCACCACAATGTGCTGCCTTTGGTATTTCTCTGACTCACATAATGTAAAAACTAAGGGCAAACAACAGTAGGGCCTACTTTAGCTGCAGGGGGCCAAAGGGCCAAAAGAAGAGATAGTATTTGAGCAACAGGCAACTTCTTTAGCTGCCAAAGAATAAAAACATTTGGTACTCAAATGCATCAGGCAACTCACCTTTTTATTGATATCTATAAGCATCTTCTTACATGTCTGTATATCTGGGTCAGTCATGCGACCGATACATTCCAGGCAACCTGCGTATGTCTGCAGGGTGGGCGTCAGGCGTTGCTGCCTTATGAGCGCAAACAATGATTTGATGGTCGTCAAATCTTTCTGGGAATAATAAATAGTATGACAGAGTCACCAATATGAAACTTTGGGTAGGAACTAAATAAATTTCAGTGAATAAAGAAGCTGTTTTTTAATAGAAAACATGGATGATAATATATCTACACTGCTCTTGCCCTGGAACCCACAAGGTGAAAGGAATAAAGGCAGACTAAAAAAGACATGGAAAAGGGAATCAGGAAGTGAAGCGGAAAAAGTTAGGGATACAGAATGAGTTAGACAAGACAGCAAAAGTTAGGGCTTGTCATGTTTTTTCAGTGTCTATTCTCCTTTGACAGATACAGGGCAGAAACAAAGAGGACCATTTCTGTGTAAAAATACAAATATGTAGTCACTCACAAACATAAAAGTACAACTTACAATTTCACTAATGTGACCAAGTCCTCCCTGACCTTCAAATACCCTCTACCAATGCTCCTCAATGGAAAAGCTCAAATTTAACACTATCTTCCCACCTCTGCAGTCATCCTACCAGTTCTAGGTTACGGTCTAGAGGATCGACTTCATTGCACCGGGTTTGATCCCATATGGCTTAGTCTCTTTCTGCAGAGCGGCAAGCCGCCTGCAGAGAGCTTCGCATACAGCATGAACTCCATTTTTCCTGGTGATGGTCCCCATTTCTGTCCTCAATCAACTGGTAAATTCTTACAATAAATCATCCTGACTGAAAAGCTTCATCATCACCACTTTCCATCAGCTGCAACAACTCTGCTGGTGTAAGCTGCTACACTTACATTTCTAATTTCTTATACCTCTACAGGGGTAAGCTGATTACATCTGTCACATTTCTCATTACCTACACCTCTCTTCATATAAGCTGATTACACTTACCACATTTTACACATTTCCTTATAAACAATGGGTAATGAACAGGCAGACAGACTGGCTGTATCTGCACCACAAGGCAGATGTGGTCAACGCCATTTGGGAACAAGCAACTGAATCAGCAGAAAAACAAGATTATTATGGCCTGGTGAAAATGAGGCACCTGGGTGTAATCAGAGGGTATGGCCGGCTCACTATACTCAAAGGAAAGGCAAGATGGACATATAACTAGATTGTGACCGGTACTATCAGTATTGGAACTCTGCGCTGGGTGCTGAAGATGTTGATGGAACACGCAAGGGAATGCCTCGAGTGCTGTGATGTCAATTCTTGACTCAACTCAATTCCTTTCACATTTCCTTGCATCTGCCACATTTCACCATCCCTTACACATATGATCGTGTAAGCTGGCTACACCTATCATCCTCTACAACATAAGCTGTCTATGTGATTTTTTTTTTTAAGTCAGGTCAGATGTCGCAACTTCTTTTACACACTAACATCACTGATGTTGGCTATCATAAAAACAAAGGTCTGAGTGGCGAGATGTTACCAACCTTTTTAGCCAGTGCATGGAATAACCTATTGAATACTTCTACGGAGCCAAGTCTGTGCTTGGATGACTGGTACTGTAGGTTTCTCACTGCAACCATCTCCTGCAAAGATCATCATTGGTCAGCATTAACAGGTGTCTGTGGCCTTATGGCCATATTCAAGAGTTAGAGACTCAGACATGGAGACATGGGTTTAGACTGTCAAACATGTACATGAGCATTTAGAGTGTTAGGCATGTAGATAAGGTGTTTACAGTGTCAGAAAGGTAGACAAGGATTTAGAGTGTCAGAAAGGTAGACAAGAATTTAGAGTGTCAGGCATGTAGACAAGGCTTTAGAGTGTCAGGCATGTAGACAAGGCTTTAGAGAGTCAGGCATGTAGACAATGCTTTAGAGTGTCAGGCATGTAGACAAGGCTTTAGAGTGTCAGGCATGTAGACAAGGCTTTAGAGAGTCAGGCATGTAGACAAGGCTTTAGAGTGTCAGGCATGTAGACAAGGCTTTAGAGTGTCAGGCATGTAGACAAGGCTTTAGAGTGTCAGGCATGTAGACAAGGCTTTAGAGTGTCAGGCATGTAGACAAGGCTTTAGAGAGTCAGGCATGTAGACAAGGGTTTAGAGCAGGGCTATTCAAATCTTGCCCACGGAGGCTAGCATGTGGCTTATGGTTCACTGCCAGTTGTATTCTATCCATGATCTTTCTATGCTGGAACTAGAGCCTCTGGCACGTGACGATCCCCATTTTCAAAATTTCTGCCCCTGAGTAAACTTTGTTGAACAGCCCTGGTTTAGAGTGTCCAAAAGGTACACAAGGGTTTAGAGTGTCCGGCATGTATTGTATTAATGATCTTTCTAAGCTGGGGCTCGGTTCTCTGGCCCGTGACGATCCCAATATTCAATATTTTGGCCCCAGAGAACACTTAGCTGACTAGATTTGGCTTATAGTGTCAAACATGTACAGGAGGATTACAGGGTCAGATGGATAGACATGTATTTCGAGTGTTTAACATGTACATGATGGTCAGAGTGTCAGAGAGATAGACATGTATTTAGAGTGTCAAACATGTACATGAGGGTTAGAGTGTCAGAGAGATAGACATGTATTTAGAGTGTTGAACATGTACATGAGGGTTAGAGTGTCAGATAGAAAGACATGTATTTAGAATGTCAAACATGTACATGAGGGTTAGAGAGTAAGACAGATAGACAAGGGTTTAGCTAGTTAAAAAATGTATCTGAGCGTCAGACAGACAGAGAAGGGTGTCAGAAAGATGGACAAGGGTTTAGAGTGTCAAACACGTACATGCGGGTTTACAGCAGGGCCATTCCAATTATTCAGGGGCCAAAACTTCTAAAATGGGGATCGTCACAGATCAGAAGCCACAGCCCAAGTATATCAAGCTTATTATTACAATACAGCTGACAGTAATCCATGGGCCAGTTGTTAGGTCTTCATGGGCCAGATCTAACCCTCATTCTACACCTACTGAGGTTAAAGTTTAACATTTCTACAAGCACAAGATTTCAATTTAACATTTAACACCTTGGTTTGGAATTTAACATGTTTACATACAAGGCCAGAATTCACCAAGTTTACACATACCAAGGTTAGAATTAACACAC